GCATGGCAAGTATTGGGCCTCAGTCCAACGTATTCGATGCTATCTCGCAGCGCGGGATGGGAGTCCCAGTCAAACTTGTGCGCGATCGGTCTTGTTGCTCCGGCGTCTGATGTCGGACCTTGTTCTCATCATGGTACCACGACGTCCCTGAGCTCCTTCTTCTCATCACATGTCGCTCTGCGCCGGTTGTGGCTCCCAGCGGGACTTGGCTGCGAGAGGCGATTCTACTCGGACGGAGCGCAGGGTGAAGACACCATGAGTGCGTTGCTTCGACGCAACATCAGTACCCGCGTCGACAATATTACGATCCGTATGTATGCGACAACAACCGGGAACGTAGGAGGGCTTTTGTATGGCAGGAGAAGGGAGCCACGTAGCGGACATGGGCCTGCCAGCCGGGTATGTGCTTTCTATTTCTATGTATGAGCGCAAGAATGCAAGATCTCCCCCGAGTTCTCCCACTCCCACGACATGAGGCTATATTCAAGGCTATATTGGTTTTTTGCCACGAAGGACGATGTCTGCTGCATCAACATTGTGTCGGGACAGTCCGTCTTTCATATGGCACGTGGCGCTGTATACGAAAAGCACGAACCATAGCAATATGTACATGTTTGTTGGGCAGCACGGGCGCACGTATGCATGTATGTATGTGTAAAGTACTACGATAGCAACATAAGATTACGACAGCTCCGAGTGGAGACGAGACAAGAAACGTATGAACATGCGCATGCGCCTCCAGCCTATGTATGTATATATACATTGCACACCACGACGCGCAGCGTACAAAAATATGCCGGTTGCTGGGGACAAGCACCAGCGCCGACCATAGCCGTACGATGCAAGGTACAAGGACAAAGGAGGAGCACGCATCTCAGTCGATCTCGATGACGTCCGGGTCCTGCTCCTCGATCTTCTCCTCGGCGCTGTCGAGGATGATCAGCCCGTCCTCCTCCAGCCGCCGCTTCTTGCTGGGGGTGAACGGCACCGCGGAGGCGGTATCGGCACCCATCCTGCCGCGCTTCGCTGGGGGCGAGTCGATCTCCTCGATGTCGTCCGGCGCGGGCCGCTTCTTGGCGGCCGACGGCGTGGGCGGGGACGGCGTCGCGGGACGCGGCCTCTCCTTCCGCGGCGGTCTAGGCAGGGGCTCGGGGAGGACGAGTGCGGGCGCGTCGACGGGGTGGTTCGGCCTGCGATGGGGAAGGCGCGCGGTGCGCGTGAGCATCCGCGCACGAAACGAACGAGGCAAAGACAACAACGCACGGTAAGACCCCGATGGCGACCTGGACGGTCGCGTACTCGCCCTCCTCGTCCACGATCGACAAAAACGTGCCCCTGGTGACGTTCAGGCTCTCCAGCGTCCGCCCGTTGTTGTCGTCCCAGTCCGGGTCGCTCAGCACGCGCTTGTCCTCGTACACGCTCACCTCCCGCTGCTCCGCGTCCTGGCCCGCGCCCAGAATGCCGTCGACGACCTCCTGGAGCGTGACGCGCGCGGGGTCGCACAGCACCTCCGTGTACGTGTCGCGGCAGACCCCGCAGAACGAGTTCGGCGGGCACATCGCGATCGCGCTGAGCGGCATGGACGGCTTAAACTGCACGTGTACGTTCCGGAGCGCGTCGTAGGACTTGCGGAGTAGGTGCAACGCCTGGAGCACGATGAGGCCCGCGATGATCGCGTTCGTCGTCGCAATTGCTGGAATGATGTTCCCTGCCATCTCTGCCGTCCACATAGTGCCCCACAAACCCCAGAAACGAGAAAGAAGAAGCCATGACAGTAAGCCCCAGGATGAGACGAGAAAAAAGGGAAGGAGGAAGATACATACCTTTCACCTCCCACCGGCTCTTTCCCGGAATTCCGTACGCCGCAGAGCGCAAGTTCGAAGCCGCGGTCACAAAGTCGAGCGTGTCCTCGTCGTCCTTGTCGAACGCGATCGTCTCCTCCCCGGCGCGCACCCGCGCCGCGAGCCGCTCCGTGCTCGCGACGAACAGCTCCAGGTTGTCCTGCAGGCTCAGCGCGCGCTGGTCCTTCAGCCCCGCGCCCGTCGCGCCCGCCGGCCCCCCCGCGCCGTTCAGCAGGATCTCGGTCGCGGAGCTCCCCGTCGGCTTCCCGTCGACGTTCCCGTTGCCGTGCGCGTGGACGCCGTTCGGCTGCGGGTGCGGCTTGGCCGCGGGGGGCGACGCGAACGAGCCCGCGCGGATCTGGTCGAAGTCGAGCGGGGTGGGCGGCGCGCGCGAGCGCCACATGTCCGCCATGGAGAGGAGGTTGAGGATGTCGGAGTGGAAGACCTTCGTGAAGACTGCTTTCGCGGCAGAGGACGATGAGGATGAGGACGCGGTGGGGGAGGGCGCCGAGCGGAGGGCGGTGCGGACGGCCTTAAAGGCTTGGGCTTCTTTGCGGAGCGCTGCGATTTCCGACGCTGGTAGGGAGGGAGGGATAGTTAGGTGAGGACAACGTAGCTACGACCAAAAGACCACCTACCGTTCTCGCCCTGCTTTTCGGCTTCATCCAGCTCCCCACCGTCCTCGTCCTCGCCGAACAGTTGGCTATATGCAATGTCAGCGACCAACTCCTGACGGAGTGTAACTACGGGCGACCTACGGCAGAAGGTAGCTTTTCGCCCACACTATACAGTGTATGGGCTGTGACGGTGTCGACCGGATGGTGCACACCGGGAACGTCTTCGGTGTCGGCTTCGGTACGCAGTCGAAGCACTCTGCGCGGTCCTGCCAGCAGTTCGCGTTCGCATCGTCAGTCCCGCCGACGCCGCAGCCAGCATCCGATAGGACTGCATACCTTGAGGATGGGCTGCACCTGCCCCAGATACCCCGCGGTGCCCGACTCCACCAGGGGCACGTTGGCGGCCATGCACATCTTGTTGACGTGCCGGCGCGCATCTGGAATGGAACGCAGGGTCAGCGACCGCCGTCTGTACACACGAGAAGGCGGAAGAAGCGTGACATCTCGTAAACTACGTCCCGCACGAGACCACAGTTTGTCCGCCGATTTGATAGGAGGTGCGGGCGCTGGGGACATCGCCCAGGTGACTATGTGGCGCATAGGCACAAAGAGGAGGTATGCATGGTGGACCACCACTTTTTCGAAGACGTGCGGAGATTGGACAGTGGTGGTCGACGCAGTCCATATGCGATAACTCTCCAGGATGAGATAGACCAGGAGACGGGTCGAAAGACCGAGCCCTTGAGGTTGGTAGGTGAAGATCGCCATAGAAAGCGGCGCTCCGATCGCGGTGGGTTCTTGTCCTCTTCGAGAGGGAAACGATGCGGCCTAGAACACGGGGCGTGGGTGACTGAGGAGCGGCGCACGCGCACAAATGCAGACGCAGACGTGTGCCTCCGCCGGACAACTTCTTGACCAAGCTGCAAGCCAACCTAGGGATCGTGGTAGTCGCATTGTATGGAACAAACCTGCGCTAGGACTTGGGAAGGCCAGTTCAGAGCTAACACTCCGTGAGCCAGCTTTCGCAGGACACCGGAGTGTGACACCGGCAAGCGCCCAATAGCAGGAATGCCGTATATATTATTCTCTTCTGATAAGCCCAGTCCAAGGGAGGAAGAGGCCCCGAGTACACCCAGAAGCGCGGGAGAGATGGAAGAACGGGCAGCAGAAAGGTGGAGGAGGAGCGTTGTAGCGGTCGAGGGGTGTATGGTGCTTACCAAGGTTATCCAAGGCATTGAGGACCAAGTGGAAACGACGGAACCAAGAGACATCAAACTGAGGCTCTTTAATGTTTGCGTGGATTGGTGTGATTTTCACGTTCGGGTTGAAGGCAGACGCGGTTTTGGCCGCTACCTGTATAACGTGAATGACAGTCACAGTTCAGAGGTGAGTCTTTCGGTCGGACAAGTTTACGGATAAGGTGCGCACCATAGCCTTGCTTTGCTTGATGTCCTTCTTTCGGAATAGAAACTGGCGGTTGAGATTGGAGAGGTCTATAGTATCAAGGTCGAGGAGGGTGATGTCACCAAAGCCAGTGAGGACGATGTTCTTCACTGTAAGATGCACGGCGCGAAGAGCACGAGGGGAGCGTATGTGACCATGTCAATGTGAGAGACATGATGGCGCTCGCGATGGGTGGTTACGCACAGAGTTCGCAGCCGATACCACCCGCGCCAACGAGGAGGACCTTGGTCTGTGAGAGGCGGCCGAAGAGATCCTGGCCGAGAATGGCGCTTGCATGGCGAGACCGTCCGCTCATGTTGTCTATGCAGTATTCCCAGGTGTGCACAGAAGCAGTCCGCCGCCAGAAGAGGTCTCGGGGAGAAGATGAGAAGCGGAGGACGACGAAGAGCACGCAGAGATGGTCGTACCTATGTAGACGCCGCCACACTCGCTGCCATCGCCGCGTGACACGGACCGCCCGTCTGCACGCGTGACACACGTGTGACACAGGTGACCTGACGCGTCGCGCGTCACATAGGCGCGCTTAACGGCGCGTGCTGTCCTCGTCAGCTCGAGCTGACTACACACCCTCGCATCCGGTAGATGAGCTCCTTGACTGATATCTGTTGCCAGAAAACCTCGGAAATACTTGCTGCTCATCGAGCCTCTCCTTTAGTCTTCCGCAGAACTCGAGTTTATTGCCAAACATCTCCAAGTCATATCTCGGTGCGTTCCTGCACTCCACACGCGTACTCCTTCCAGTGTAGAGAAAGCCTACACGCGTAGACTGTTCTTATATGGTCTCTGCTCGCCCAAATGAATTGCATGCTATGCAAGAAAGGGGGGAGCAATTCGAAGAAGCGTCCTCACCCGCCGGAGTCAGCTGCTCAGTGCTCGACAGTGCTTCCGATACGGACGCTATCGAAGTTGAGACCGCGACTTGCTTTGATCAGGCTCCACGAGGGGTACAGGGGGTGTTGACCAACACCCTGTTCCTTTCTTCCGAGACAACGCGCCGTAGTAGCCCTCAGCGATCTGGCATGCATCACTCCCAGTCGTACCTCAGCCTGCTCCGAGCACGCCGACACGCTACACCCAATTGTGTTGCAATCACCTAACCTGACATCCTTGACAGCGGGCGTGTCCTTCAAAGTTCTGCTTCGCTCTTCCATCCATGATTCCCCAGGAACCGTCATCTCGTCCCAGGTAAAGCATGCGGCTGACCGTCTTCACCCTGATTCTCCGCGCACTCGAACGTCATGCTTGGATTTCGTAGTGCTATCGTCATTACAGTTGACCAAGAGCTGTCCAAGGAACCGATGAGCATTGAAAGGAGAACCTGTGCATGGTGACAGGCTCTCTTCAAGGACTACTGTCGGCGGTTCAGGATCTTGCTTGGCGGCTTAACGGGCTCAGGCATGTGCGGGGACCCGGCCTGACCTTGAGCGGCGCTCAATCTGCTCAACGTCTAACGGGTCCCCAGATAAGACGCGATCAGCAGAATCCTGAAGTGCTGATGCCGCAACAATGTGCACATAACTCGAAACAAAATAGCTGCCATGCCTCGTCCGGGATCCCCTGTCACCTGGACCATGAACAACAGGATAGAACCCTCCACCTGAGGGCGGAGTTGCCTACGTTTTGCGCATCGCTCGAGACACACGTACGGCTTTCGAACAGACGTCGGGCAGGTAGAGAGCTTGATAGCTCCCAAAGCTGTAAGACCCCACTCGCCCATCAGAAACCGGCAGGTAGGGATCCATCCTAGCCTGGTGCGCACTCGCTCGGATCGAAATGGGACACCACCTCGAGCGATCTCACCGCCGGTTGGAGCCCTTTTTCATTCACCAAGTGTGACAATAATGCTAGCGGTCGTGGGGCTATGCATGGGACATGGTAAGCCAATATCCACGGAAGAGGTCCTCGTTGTTAAGAGACCTAGAGGGACCACAGCCTACATATGTGTGAGCTATCCCACTACTGTCCATTGTTGAGGGACTCCTACTCAAGCAGAGATGGCGGCCTACTCAGCACGCCGTCTTGCACTGAGAATGAGGCTTTGGTTTACGGATTAAGGTCTCTTTCCACGTTTCTGGACGGTGACTCTCCTAGCACTACCACGAAAGCGACCGACCTCGAGCACACTACCCTCGGGGAGGTCTCGACATCGGAGCTCCGAGAATGCATCTCTGTCTGCCGCACTGCCATGAACAGCTTTGCCTTCCAAGAAATGCCACCGACAAGTAACCATCTGTCGCTCGGTTCGCCCGCGCTCCAGATGTACTCGCATAGCCTACACTTTAGCTCAGGCACAGCCTGACGGGACGTGCTTCCACGCACCGGCACGCGTGCATTCGACCGGCCCCCCTCAGCGGGATCATGGATGGGAATATGTACCAGTGCGTGGGCGAACCGGGCAGCGTGCAGCGTTGTCTCGCACACCCATGGGTTCGCTGGGAAGATGCCGCACGTCGTTACTCGGACAAAGTATTCACATACTCCAGAAGTGAACTCTAATCATGTTCTAGCTCGTAACAACTGGAGCGCGGTGGCCCGCTCATATAGGACTTCCCACGGACGTTCAACAAAACTCATCTTCAGAAGACGTATGACGGAGATGGGGCGACTGTCTGTCGCATGCAGTTGATGATGTCAGTAATAGAGACGCGACGGCCAACGCTCGCCTATGGCCGCCGCTGAGCTGACACGACCGTCATAGGACCGAAGTGGCTATCTTATGCCAATCTGCCTGCAGACCAAGCGGCGAATCGAGGAAGGATGCCGCTTGTCGTGTGGTTCACGTTAGCCGTCGGACTCTAACTGACACCACACCACATCCTCAATACATATTGTGGCAGCTCACGGGGCCGTTCTGCGCCTCACCGTGACCACGCGGGAAGCGTCCCCTCCAGCTTTCTTTCGAATTGCTGTTCTCCACGTTTGTTCGGTGCCCCCTCTCCCCCCAGCTTCGGCCGTCAGAAGCACACCTTTTTGATCCACTCACCGTATGGCACGGCGTTACTATACGCCAGTCCGAGGAACTCGCACGACCAATTCCCATCGCGTGCCCGAGCCCGAGAGGCTGGACTCTTAATTCCATGAACCACTACATATTAGGGGCTAGGACCCCGTCCGCGGTCTGTTCCCATCCCAACAACCTGTACGTCGATCGTCCGATTGTTGTTTTCCAGATCCCAGTCGTGCGGCTACACCATCTTCCAATACGGTCGCACCACCTGTATTGAACGCCGGGTCCACACTCTCTCCCACCGCCGCGCCGGCGCTGTCGGGGACGGGCTTTCACCAACCCTCCGGATCACACCGAGCACTGCTCCCGTTGACCCGCGGCTCCGAGCCAATGATCATCTGTGGTCGCCGCACGGTCGCGAACAAGGATGAGAGAGAAGAAACCCTTCTGCGGCCCTTGTCTTTGGTCTTTGTTCCACCATCCCGCGACAACGGTAGAGCCGAACAACACACCTTCGAATGCACGCGATCAACGATACGTGCTGTATCTCAGGAAGTCGAGAAGTACTGTGCAGTACATCGACTACTTGTTTCATCTTGACAGCCCCCACGATCGTATGTTTGTGCTTGAGGAGCGGGAAAACCTCGCCGTTGCGAGATCAATGCGAATATCGGTCGTCGGCGTGCCACCAGCGACTGCAAATCCTGTTGAGCGCACGCAGCCTCGGCGATAACACGACTGGAATCACCAACGTAATCCGAGCATCAGAGCTGCTGGCGTCGTCGAGTTCTCGATGAGCGCAGCACGAAAAGGCAAGGCCGAGACCCAGCTGGAAATGAAGCAAGGTACGCGAGGGCGCCGGACGCCGGTAAAGACCGCAAAATACTCAAGTGCTGATGGATGACGCGTTCATGAGGTACATATTGCTGTGCAGATTGGCAGATAGGTCTCGAACTTGAACAGGCGCTGTCCGCAGGTCTGCAGCAGATTCGCGCAAAGAAACAACAACCTGATGTCAGACGTGCCGAATGTGCGTAAATTTTATATTGTCGTGGTATATGACAACTACGGAACTTGAACATGAATGTGAGCGTATCATGGCGGTGGATGGACACTACTGTGGAGAATTCATGAAATGAAATGCGTCAGATGGTATGAAAGGCATGAACGCAACGTAGAGTCGAGGAAGGCTAACGGAAGACTACAGAAGCAAAGAGCGGACGCGGACCGTCGATCGAGACGATGCGCGGCGTGAGCAGCGATTACGAGCACAGCAACAATTACAGACCATAAGCATATGTAGGCAAAGTCGTACAGAAAGGCTAGGATGACAACAAGCGCGCTAGACAAAGCGGGAGGAGGGTAAGCGGAGGAGCAGAAAGGTATGGTGATACAGAGTACGGGAGGTCGTGATAGCAAGGGGATCTAGCTGCAGCAAGGTCGTGTGTGGGTGTGGGAACGGTATATGATGCAGTCTATGGAGATTGTCCTACTCAATCTCTGTCCGAGAGGTGTTCAGGGGGATGATGATAAAGCGTTGGGATGCTACGACCATCGTGTGTTCTCGTGAGGTACACGAGAAGTGAAATGACGCAGGTGCGCGCTCAGCACCCACCGAGCTTCCACATCTTCACGTAGTCGCTAGAAAGCACGTTCCGTGAGCGACCGCAGTACGCTTACCGGATGGGGATAAAGGACACTCACACTCGCATGGCGCGGTCCTCTTGGGAGGAGGGCCAGGTCGCCGCCCACTTATCTTGCGCCTGCGCAAAGTCACGCATCGCCGTACTCGAGCCGTCGAACCACATTTTGCCACCGACGTTATCAGGGAACCAGCCGCTGGTTCCGCCCGCAGCGACGTCGAGGATCAAGTAGAATTCTGTTTATCGAAGGATTCGTCAGCCCTCATGTCGTAGAGGCGCGAACTTAGCAAGGCATGAACACTCACGCTGGTCAAACGGGGCAGCCGAGGTACCGCCCTGCTGCTGCCAGATGTTCTCGATCACGACAGCGACGGACGAGCCGTTGGTGGCCGTGGCAGGGTAGTGGCCGCGCTTGAAGAAGTCCTTGCCCCCCTTGCCCGTGATCTTCAGGTTCATCATCGCCTCCAGGCGCGAGTCGACGTAGAACCGCATCCAATCTGGCGTCCACTCGAGCGAGTACACGTGGAAGCCGTCCGCGTACGACGAGCGCTTCTGCGACCACCAGCCGAAGATGTGCGTCTGCACGCTCGCGAGCACGCCGTAGTTGAGCGTGGAGCGCACGAAATTAGAGCCCTGGGCGGGGTACGAGATGCCGTTGCCGCGCGATTCCATAATCTAGAAGATCCGCCTAAAGTCAGTTCCCAGTGATAAAGCGTGGGGAAGAGATAATATACGCACGTCGATCTCTCCGCTGAGCGGCCATGCGCCGTACTTGTTGTCCTTGGGTAGCATCCAGATCGCGGGCCAGAGCCAGTCACCTTGAGGCAACTTCGCGCGGACCTCGACCTTGCCGAACGCGATGGTGGCAGAGTTGATGGTGCTGATCCGCGCGGACTGGACCGGCTGGATGGTCGCGCCCGTTCCGTTGTTCGACTTGACGGAACAGGCAGTCTAAATTGACACCGTGAAGTGTGTGAAGATACAAATAACAGAAGAGGTTAGCATCACACGCCTGAGCCAAAACGACAAAGTAGGAACCAGTGTGAAAAGTCTGACCTTGTTGTTGCTCGTGCAGTCGTCACCGAGATCGAACGAGCCGCCGTCCAGTATAGCGGCCCTCCCGATGGCGTCCGATGTGAGTGTCGGCAAGATGTACAGCTCGCCGTTCTGCACGAACAGGTTCGAGTCCGAGGCCGTCATCATCTCAAACTCCCCGTTGCCGAACCCACCAAGCTCGACGTCGCGCGTCCACGTGTTCTGCAGGTCGAGCGTGTCGAAGCTCTCGTCGAGGACCATGCACAAGTCCGAGTCCTTGAGCATCTTCACGTCCTGCCACCCGAAGAAGCAGAAGACTGCGGCGCCTCCGACTCCCAGGAACAGCATGAAGAACGTGAGCCACCACGAGGCGCGGTCGCGCCAGTCGCGCTGGCCGAGCCACGGCTTGTCCTCCTTCTCGAGCTTGTGCGAGAGGCGCGAGGAGGGCATGGGCGGCCGCGACTTGCGGGGATGCGCCGGGAGCGAGGAGTTCGACTGCCCAGGCGGGTATGCGTAGTACGACGGCGGCGACCAGACCGAAGACGTCGGCCGCGACGAGGGCGAAAGGAATGGCGCACGCATGTTGATGGCTGGGCTCGATTGGGTGCGCGGGATGTGAGCGGCGTCGGTGCCTGTGCGACAAGAGTCGAACAAATGGAAGAAACCAGTCAGTCATCTCGCTTCTGGAAACGCCGTACGCTTAGAACGCAACTTACCGAAGCCCTGGTTCAGAGCTTGGCTGCTGCCAGCCATTGCCGCCGCGGCGCTGTTCATGTAGATACGGCTGCCCATCGGGCTAGGAGGCGTGGCGCTGCCCTCGCGACTGGGGACGCCGTATTCCATGAACGGCGCGTACGGGCGCCCAAGATCCCCTGCGAGATCGCTGCTGCTCGCGCCGCCGTGCGATAAGAGTCCGTAACCGGCAACGCCGGCACCTGCGGGATAGACCGTGCCCGTGCTGGGAGAGTGCTGGTGGCCATGAGGATACGTGCTCTCCCGAGCACGAATGCTTTCTATCGAGGCACGTCGACCCATGCCCGGGAGGGGAAGGCCGGGGTCGGGGTTGCCTGGATGCGATTGGAAGGGAAAGGAGGAAGGGGGTGGGCGCGGTCCTGCGACGAGAGGTGGAGCAGCACCAACGGGCATCGCGCCGTAGAACGAGTTCCTCGGTGTGTCGAACGGATTCGGTATGAAAGGAGTCGCGGACGTAGGCGTGTTGGCAATCACGGGCGAGAGTGTCGGGGAGGCAGCAACCGTTACGTCCTCGCTCTCGGGTTCGGGGGCGTACTCGTTGGCCACAGACGAGCGTCTACGATGGTTCCGAGTACGAGTACGAGGGTTACTGGAAGAGACTGGCTGCGCTGGCTGCGTAGGATCGGTGGGGGAACGAATGGAGCGGGCAGCTGCACCGCGCTGAGAAGGTCGCGTGGTCGCGTCTGCGGATGGCTTGCGGGCAGGAGGCGCGCTATCAGAATCGCTCTGTTCACCAGTCAACGACGTGCTTTCGGAGGATGCGCTCCAAGACTGGCGCGCACCGCCCTCGAGGAAGAAGGGCCGGGGAGGAATCAAAGGAGCGTTATTGCGCGTGCTGTCCGTGGACCTACGACGCGCGAAGTTGTCGGCGATCGGGGTGGACGCATTGCGCTGAAGCTGGGACTCGTCCTCGCTCGAGTCGTTTGGCGCTGCATTTGTGGACGGGTTCGAGTTGAGAGAGCGGTACGCGTCCGCGGAGGAGTACGCGGTGCGACCATTCTGGGAGTCGCGTCTGCGGTACATGACTGGCCTTGTGTATGCGCCTGCTCAACAACTCGTGGTGAGGTCAGCGTTGTCTGAGAGCGTCGTGGAGGGCAAACGGAGGGTAGCCCTACACAGACAAGTGTTTTAAGCGAGACAGAGGCTGCAAGAAGCCGAGGGAGGGCTGTGGCAGCCGGGGACGGTCGTGGACGGGGCAGTAGAGGGGACGGGGGAGGGAGGGAGTTATGTGGGCGGGCGATAGAGGAATGGAAGGCGTCCACGAGGAGATGCGTGCCGTCCCTGCAGCCAGCTCTGTCCTCGCAAGATAAGCAGGCGTAGCATAGGCGGAGGTCTGGTTGAATTCTCGGCTGGTTCAAAATACGGCGGTATTCGGGGTCCTTGGAAGCATTCAGACGAGCCGGCAGTTCGCCATCCCATTCGTCCCCTGGCCATGCCCTAACGGCCCCACCCACCCGTTGCCAGTTACGCGGAGTACACTCGACGTCAGCCTGTCCAGCTGTCGTCCAGTAAGTACCTCGCCAGTCCGCCGGGCTTTCCTTGCAGCGCCCGGTTCCGGAAGCCTGGCCAGCGCCTCCACCGTCGGTCGCGGATGCGAGTTTATGCGACGACAGGCCCGACCGTCCATGGAACTTGGATTGCTGCCGTGGCCAGGGATAGACCTGCCATTCTCGTGAGGCATGGAGGCGACGTTATGTGCCGCAGTGCGCCCACCCCTGCTCTTCTGGCGACACGTCAGCATTGCCAGAGGGCGGGAGACCGACATGTGGATTTACCGCGGCGCCAACATGCTGCTGGGAGGCTTCGCTAGTTATCTGCTGATGGCGGATGTAGTTGGGTCGTTGGCTCTCCACTCGTACTTTGAAAATCGAGGAGGAGCTGATGGGATTCGTGAGGACGAGATAGAGGTGAGTGACGTCAATCCTTACCGGGCAAGGCTGCAGTGGGAGATTTGATAGACGCGGTCCCGGGGTCCTACTGCGTCGCCACCAACTATGGAGCATCAAGGTCCCCAATTTGGCTATGACGTTTGCTACGTCGTGGACAAACCATCCAACTATAGTTGAAGATTTCATTCGTGGGCAGGAGGTCCCTCGCGTGCCGGACTGTTTCGCGCTTGTAGATATGGGCGCTATGGACATGGCAGGGTGCTTGGACGAACATTGACTGTGGCAGACGGGAGCCGAGTAGGAGGAGGAGATGTGCCGGGGGGCAAGTACATTGCCAACTAGAAAGCGGGCGAGATAAGGGAGATGCAGGCCGGCCGATCGCCGGGAGGTACGCGCGGACTCCGCCGCGGAGGGTGTCGTTGAATTCTGCTTGAAGATATCGCGAGGCCACGCGCGCTGCTGGCTGCCCGCGAGTCCGCCCTGCTCCCCCTCCCCGTCCCGGCCTGGTTCCTCTCTACTTCCACCTCCCCTCCCAGGCCTCGCGCCCGTCCCCTCTTGCTAAAATCTCCTTCTTTCTCCTCTCCCATCTTCGAGCGCACCTCTCCACGGTAGTCCTCGCCTCGTAATCCTCCGCTCTCCCCCCTGCGGCGTGCACCCAGCCATGGATTACGACCGCTACGACGCCTTCCTCCACCACATATTCAAGCAGACACAGGGCGACGCTTGGTTCCGCCCCAACGAGGACAACATCGCCGTCGGCGTCGCGCTCCGCGTCGACAATGGCGAGTACCGCGTCTTCCCCTACGAGAACCTCGGGCTCGAGCCCTTCGAGGCTGCGGTCCGTGCGCTGAACCCGGCCGTCGCTGTCAAGGTCCGCAGCGCAGCCGTCCACGCCGCGTTCTCCGAAGTGTACGCTCCTTCTCTCCAACTCGCCGGAACGGGACGTTGACCCCACTGCTGCAGGGGTCCCGGAGATAAGTCCATCTACATCGACGCGAACACGCGTATCCAGATCCTGGACACCATGGTCGACCTGCCGACCGCAGACAAGGAGCAGAACGCGGCCTTCGTCGTGAGTGTCGTCGCCTTGTTACGCGTTTTGTTCCTCCCCGGGCAGGCACGTTCGCGCCCTGGAATGTCCCTCGGGTGTGTTCGTCGTCATTGCCTTCTCGGCTGCGAGCAGCGGTCATGTCCCTCCGCCTTCTGCTCATCTCCGCGCACGCCCGTCGTGCGCGTAACACGTCCCGCAACGGCCCATCGGGGAGGCAAAGCTTAATACCATCGTATGTGATGTCTACGAGACACTCACGTCGATCTCGGCTTCTGCCTGGCGCTTTCCTACCCATAGGCGCGTTCCGCTCGCCATGCTACGGTGTGCATTATTGATTTCCGCAGCCGGCATTGGGTGACCGAATGGGAGTGGCGTCGATAGGAGTGTGGAATGATCGTGAGCAGTCAGAATGATACAGCCACCGACTTTACCGCCCACGTCGGGGCCGGCGCCTAGACAACGCGATCGTTGCTGTTAGTCTAAGCGGGGCCGGCGTTCGTAGTGGTTTTCCAACGTCACGGACGCATTGGTGTATTCGTGCTCATTCGCGTCAAAAGCAGTCCGTGCTCGGTTGAGTAGCCGGGCGTCTTGCACACCATTCAGTCTTCGGACGTGCTGTGTTCCGGACGTTGTTGTCCATGCCATTTTGAGCTTAGACCGATGACTGACACACTTGCGTTCTGCATTTCTAGCGTGACGAGCGCGTGCTGGTGGTCTGGTCAGACTCGATCGACACCATCATCCCGATATGCCATGACTTCGAGGAGCGCCTCATCAAGCTGCTCTGGCGTTCGCGCCCCGGGGTCCCAGGGTCGCATCCGACAAGTTCGAGCGGCCACCCGGCGAGTGCTACTGGTGAGTCCATCTCCGAGCACTGGCCTTCGTGTTTCGGCACCCTTGCTCCACATAGCATGGTGCACTTTCCATTCCACGCCTGAGTTGCGGGCACGGGCTCTCGTAGTTAGTGGGCTTCGACTTCCATTCCTTTTAGCACGGCGGGATCTGCCCCGCTTGTGCTCCTCGGGCAACTTGATTCGCTCTATGCCCCCTTCCGTTGATCCTGCGCTTCTCATCGCTACCTTCACCATGCCCTGCCATATCGCTATGCTATGTCTCGGGAGTTCCGCTGCTTCCCAGTCGGCTTATCGCCTATCGTCTGTGCTAACATCGTCGTCTTCTCTGTCACAGGCTCTGTCTCGGGCCATTCTATGCAACAACTGAACACCCGGCTATCGCAAAGCCAGCTTCGCCGCAATTCTGTGCTGCCAGGCACGCCAGGAAGGGGCACTCCCGTCCCCGGGACCCCCAGGGGAGTCTTCGTCGGCTCGGGTGGCGTGCTCGTCATGAGTGCGGAGGACCTCGCGCTGGACTCGCTCAAGGAGAAGGAGCCGGCGGAGCCCGAGACCGTCACGAAGACTAAGCGGACTTGGTGGGGCGGGAAGAAGACGGTGACCATTGAGCGCCAGCCGAGCGCGCTCGCGGCTTACAGTGACGTCGAGGCGGGCTCTGAGGCGAGGAGAACGGTGCTTCTGGCACCGATCTACAACGGGTTGGCTGCGGGGCTGAGCATGTGTAAGTCGCGCGTTATCTTTCGTTATGGGGACAGCAAAGGGCGGATTATCTGACGCATTCGAACGTAGTCTTCATCGGCAATGGTATCAACATCTTGCTGGAGGAAGTTCAGCTGGACGGGAATTTCATCCGATTGGCGCTTGCTGTGCTGCTCCCGCTGTTGTTCTGTGTTTCCTTGGTGAGTAGTCCGTTTTTGAGTGTAGAAGGATTCCTGATGCGGTATGTATGTGCAGTTCTTCGCCCTCCAGATCGTGCAGAACCTGTCTATGTGCATCGGCCCTGTTGGGCAGTATCACAAGAACTCGAAGTACTACTCTGCCGTCCCCCCACGGCCGAACAAGATGGTCGACAACAACCTGCCCCACATCACGATTCAGATGCCCGTCTACAAGGAGGGCTTGGACGCTGTATTGTGAGCATCTCACTCGCATTTGTCATCAAGCTGCATGCTAACTGCGGATATAGGGCCCCCTCGATCGAGACAATCAAGAAGGCTATGCAGACCTACGCCCGTCAGGGAGGTACCTCCACGATCTTCATCAACGACGATGGTCTCCGACTTCTGTCTGTGGAGGATCGTGACGCGCGCATCCTGTTCTACGCCAACCACGGCATCGGTTGGGTCGCTCGGCCCAAGCATGACGACTCCTCGCCCGACGGGTTCAAGCGCGCCGGTCGCTTCAAGAAGGCCTCGAACATGAACTACGGGCTCTCGCTCTCGCTCAAGGCGGAGAAGTACCTCGCGGAGCTCCTGGCACGCGAGAAGACCCGTATGTCGACGGAGGGGACGAACAGCTCAAACGGCGTCAGCGAGGAGATGCGCTACGGCATGCAGTACCAGAACCACGACGGCGAGGACCAGGGCGGCATCAACCAGGGGCAGGGCCAGCGCCTCCGCGCGGGCAGCGACGCCGGCTCGCAGCTCGACGAGTTCGACGACCTCGAGGAGAAGGCGCTCCAGATGGCGATCGACGAGGTGTACGAGGCGAGCGGGCGCAAGTTCCGGCCCTGGGCCGCGAACGGGCGCGCGTGCAGGCTGGGGGAGATCATCCTCCTCGTCGACTCGGACACGGTCGTGCCCGAGGACTGCCTCAGGGACGCGGCGCGCGAGATGGCGGAGTGCCCGACGGTGGCGATCATCCAGCACGGGTCGGACGTCATGCAGGTCGCGCACCACTACTTTGAGAACGGCATCGCGTACTTCACGCGCAGGATTAACAAGTGTATCTCGCTTAGTAAGTCGTTATGTGCGCGCCAGAAGCTTGTCACGGCGTCTAATGCACTTTAGGTTGCGCAAACGGTGAGGTCGCGCCCTTCGTCGGTCACAACGCGTTCCTCCGCTGGAAGGCGTTGCAAGATGCTGCCTTCGTCGATCCCTTGGATGGTCAGGAGAAGATCTGGTCCGAGTCGAACGTGTCCGAGGACTTCGACATGGCTCTCCGTTTGCAGATGCGTGGATACATCATCCGCTGGGCGACGTACTCCAAGGGTGGCTTCAAGGAGGGTGTCTCGCTCACCGTCGACGATGAGCTGAACCGCTGGCAGAAGTACGCCTATGGTGAGCAGCATCAGCTCTTCCGTGCTCGACGTGACCGCTGAAGATGACATGGCACCGAGGCTGTAACGAATTGCTGTTCAACCCGTTCGCGCAGTGGTGGAAGAAGGGCCCGATCGCGCACCAGATCCACCGGTTCCTCTGGTCCGGCGCGCCGCTTCACTACAAGTTCTCGATGATGGCGTACATGTTCTCGTACTGTGAGTGCTCTACTCGGAATCGACATCATGAGTGAGGGCTTCGCTGACCGTTATGCATGCGTCAGACGGTATCGCCGCCTCGATCACGATCAGTCTCATAAACTATGTCTTGCTCGGTTTCCAGCTCCCCGTGGACGGCTTCTACATGCACAGTTTCGAGATCTGGCTGGCCACCACCGTCGTCTTTTTTGGATCTGGTAACGTCGGCTTCACGCTCCTTGAGTACCGTCTCGGCGAGAAGTCACTCGTAAGTAGCTCTGACATGTGAAGGAGGACATGCGCTGAATCGAGTGCGTATAGCTTGGCTCGTTCTTCGAGAACATCATGTGGATACCGTTCTTGTAAGTCTCAATTTGTGTCAATGTCGGGCTCGGATCGTGGCTGACCTCTGCTTCTAGCTTCTTCTTCTTCGGCGGCCTCTCGATCCCCGTCTCGCAGGCGATCCTGGCCCACTGCTTCTCGTACAACATGACGTGGGGCGCAACGAAGAAGGAAGTCGAGCGGTCGAACTTCTTCAAGGAAATCCCCAAGATCTTCAAGCGCTTCTGGTTTTCGTGGCTTGTGGCGTGGGTCGTGATCCTCGGCATGGTCGTCCTCAGCACGCCCCTCATCCCGATCGAGTGGCGCATCGACGGCTCCGCCTGGGCCGTCATCTTCCCCCTCGCCGTCGTCGCCGGCTGCCACGTCCTCTTCCCTGTACGTCTCTCCTACTCGACATCGTTCGGTGCGCTTCGTGCTGACTGTCTCATGCTTGCAGATTGTCCTCAACCCCTGGTTGATGGTGTTCTCGTACTAGGCGCATTGCCTACGGACCCTTCCCAGTGCACATATTCATACCCTACTATACCTGCTGACGGACAACCCTACTTATTACTCGTGTACGCTGAGAACGGACTCTGTTCCCCGCCGTCGTGTACCATGTGCTGCGCCACGCGCGTGCCGCTCTTTGAGATCGAGGCTGGCGTGAAACATCGCCCGTTTGCGCACATGTTCTACTGAGCACTACGCATAATGCCGCTGATCGTGCCCCCTTGAGAAGTGCCTCCTGTACAGTCCAGTCCCTGCTCACGGACCGAAAGTAGTCTCCCTGATTTCTTCTTGCATCGACTAACGCTATACAACCGTTTACCCATTGCATGGTCTTGTTTACTTACAATGCTTTCATGACACTTTTGCTGCGTCCTTGTTGCTTCACGAATCTCTGTATCCGTCCATGTTCTTCATAGCGCACTCACGATTAGAACGCTTACACCGCTGAGCATCTCATGTCACCAGTAGCCATTGTCGATTACAATGATACCTCCTGCTCTCGTCTCGCAACAATCTTGACGTAGTGAGGTGTTCTAAGCCATTGTTTGCAAGATCGTGTCGAAGTCCGCGTGAGTACGAGTACAAACATGCCCTGATATCCAAAGTATGACAATGTCCATGACCACCTTCTAATTGTCCGCAATACGCAAAAGCTTCAAGATCGAGGATCGCTATCTCACCAGCCCTAAGATGTGGAGGAGCTTGTCAAAGTTCGGAGTACCGAGACCGGTCACCTTTACGTCTGTTTCAGCAACCCCGACCGCGAGCGGCACCAACGTCAAAACGTACCGGATCCCAGCCGTGCGTCGCATTGAACCCCCGCGGCGGGCCGTCATTGTCGGACCCGCGCTGGACCGAGCTGTTGCCCGCGGTGATGTCCGTGAACGCCTCGTACCCCACCGAGTACAGCCACGGGTTCAGGAAGCCGAGCGTGGGCCGGCCCGCCGAGATGAGGCGGTCGTTGAGGAGCGCGACGATGTCCGCCACGGCCGGCGTCGCCGTGCTCGTCCCGCTCGCGGAGAAGAAGACGCCGGCGGCGTACACGGGGAAGTCCGTCGCCGCGGCGGCGATGTCGGGGATGTCGCGGCCGGAGGCGTTGAACCGCCCCGCGTTGGCGGAGCCGAGCTTCGCGAGGTAGGCGGGCACGAAGGCGTCTTGGTAGGGGGGGCGGGCGTATATTGACGAGAAGCCGCCGGACGAGTGCACCCAGCCTTCTTCGGGGGCGTAGTTCTGCGTGCCGCCGACGGCGGTGAGGCTGGGGTGAAGGGGCGTATAGGTGAGGGCGAGGTCGAGACACGGGTGGCGGGAGAGCGGGAGCGGGAAGAGCGCTTACAAGGGGCACGAGGCGGGGAAGTTGGCCTCGAAGTTCGTGATGTTGTCGGGCGAACAGCCAGGGCCTCCGTCGCCTGACGCGTAGAGCACCGTCACGCCGCGGGCCCCGAGCGCGGCGTAAGATTGGCAGACCTTGCTGCAGACGGGACTGTATTGAGCACATCGTTCAGGACAGTTAGATATTGCTTACTCTGTGATGGAGAATGCCCATGTCGTCTCTTGGTGAACATAGCTCGTCGTGAGCACTTGCGGCGGGTCCTCGAGGTTCGCGAGGAATACGGCCACGTCTAGCCAGCCGTTCACCCCGTCTGTAGTATTCCCGCCCACGAAGTACTCGATGACAGGGACGTCCGTGGCCACACCGACTGTGTTTCGGATGTCGAGATCCTAGCGGGCTCGGGTAAGCGGTGGAGTTAGACCCTTTCGGTGTATGGCGGAGTGCTTACGCCTTCAAGGACGGAGTACGGGTTTTGTTCGTCCGAACCGCCGTCGACGCCTACGACAGTGAAATTGGTCTTCGGATCCATATCCGGACAATATGTTTCCAAGAATGTCTGAGCAGAGAAGGTGAGGCCGAAGTGTTCCGTCGTATACATGAGGGTGATCCTTACCTCCAGGTAGGCGAAGTGAGCTTCGTTGCCGTAGAAGCCAGTCACACCGATGCGGTTGGTGGGATTGACGTTGGGCGTCGCGGGGATTTGATACAGTGCTTGTAAGCAAGCGGGACTTGTACCATTAGAGCACGCAGGGGGGGCATTTCGTCGCGAATGGTCGTGAGAAGTGTAGAGCGCGCGCTTCTTCGAATTGGGTTGAACATTCGAAGCCGAGTCGGGGAAGCTAGGAAGAGAAGCAGACGGTCAGTTCACCCTAATGCAGCACCAGTGGTAGTACTAGAGCTTGCATACGAGATCGTAGGGTGAACCAGGTCGACGTGGCCCTGTAGCTCAGCGGGAAGCGAGTACGAGAGTGTCCGGATCACTTCCGCACCGTCCTCGTCCTTGAACACTGTAAAATTTGCGTTGAAGAGGGCGTTCGCCTGCGCGACGGTCGGGCTTCCCGCGCTGACCCAGTCGCCGGAAGACGAGATAGTCGTCCCTGTGAGATTCTTGGCCTTGAGTCAGTCGGTAACTGCCTGCAGGCTTTCTGGCTTGGGCGCGGTAAAGGCGTTCACCTGTGTTCAGTGCCATGCACGATATTAAGCTATGATCTGGGATGTGTCGGTGAACAATGGACGTACCTCCTCCTTCGATAAGTACTTGCCGTACGACGCGCTCGCCGGGTCGCTCACCCTGTACAGCGCGTCGATTAGGCCTTGAGGATCGCTCTGCTTCAACGCAAAGCGCAGCTGAAGAGTCTGTTCGGGCGCAGCTGGGCCGACGTGTGTAAACCCAAGCGGAGCGACACTCCTTGCCTCGTGGGGATGCAAGACAGCATCAGAAGATGACGCTGCTCCACGCGAGATCAAAGCAGCAGCAACAAGCGTGGACCCCAGAAGACGCATGAGCGGGAGCATGACGAGCACGCACTACGGACACGCGGAGGGTGATCGTCACTTTGATACCTATGTTGAGCAGACCAGATCATATATACTTGTTCGGAATGCGCGCATGAATTGCCGCCTTGTGAAACCTGGGTGCTCGCAAGGGGATAACAGGCCTGGTACATCCTGGCGCTTACTTAAATCCGTGATCACGGGAAGACCTAGTCTCGGCTCCAGACGTTCTTCAGCCTCTCTGCCCCAGCACTCGATGCGTCGCTGCGCTCCGCAAGCCTCGGGAGGGAGTAGACCAAAACAGGAAGGCGAAATTGATGGAACGAATCTCGAAAAGATCTGGAGGGGGGAAACGAGCGCCGGGGGAGAGAGGCTTTAGAACGTCTGGTGTGTTTCGGGCTCGGCAGAGGGCATTGTGACAGGCGGGTCACCGGTCCATGGTCCGTCGTTACATACGTGACAACATCACATCGGAGGCGCACGACGGGACGGAGGGATCAATGTCGCGCACTCGTTCTTCTGTCTGCATGTAACTATACCTCCACTATGCTTGCGGAAGATGAATATCTAGCCTTCGAAAATGATCTCGGGGAATTTGATCCTGACGATTACCTGGACTCATGTATTGAAGAAGTGGATTCCTCACCCCCTCCCCTTGCCGACCCTCCTCCTCGCACGCATGCGCGCTCCACACTATACGAGAACTACACCCGCGCGCTCAGCAACAGCATGGAGGCTGGTGGGATGTCTCGAGGATCGCGTTCTCGCATGTATCGATTACATGAACACAACAGGCATCAATCTTTTGGTAACAGCCTCGCGCGATGCGGTGTCGACAGCCCTCACGTGCCATTAGTCAGCCCACGTGGTGTGACTGATCGTCACAATGCCCTCTGCCGAGCCCGAAATGCACCAGACGTTCTAGCGGTACTGTCTGTAAGCGCTAGAACGGATGGGAACGAGACTAGGGAAGACCGCGAAAGAGCTGGCCTGTGTTGACGCCGTCGAGACCCTGGGTAAGACGCTTAGTGTCGGGCGAACAGGTTCTTCGCAAGTGCGATATTCGCAGGTTAACAACGTTGTTGATAACATGCGAATAACTTAGCCTAGTTATTCACTCTGCGATTATCTTGAGCGCTTATATAAGCGCCTTGCAGCAGATGCGAGATCGTCGAGGG